CCAATTCTTTTCGATATAATGACTCAGTATATTCCTTCCATCTTCTTTTGATACCTCCTGGATCATTTAACATTCTGCCTAAAGCATCCTTGATTGTTGCAACCCAAGGTTTGAATTTGCTCTTCAGTTCTTTGAGCTTAAGAAATGCTGAACGAGTTCGGCTCTTTTGATTTTCTGACTCTAGCTCCTCGCACATTTCATTGTAGTATTTTGCTTTGTCATTCCGTGCTGCCTTTTGGAATCTTCTGTTCAGCTCTTTAGTGTCTCCATTACGTCTTCATATTCTTTGTCCACACCATAATTCAAACAGTCAACTTTGAGACAACTAGCAACAATGTAGAATCAATAAACTGGGCTTTGGGAGTATGTTTAGAGCAAGGCCCTAGAAAGTGAAAACGGTTTGTCCTCTCAGCTACTAATTGTAAAGGTACGTCAGAATAAAGGTTTGTGCCTGCTGACTCTAAACAAAATTTGTCCTTGAGTTCATTTGGACTCACTGACAACCTGTGTGTTACTGAACAGAACTGCGCCCTTCAGGGTTTTCAGTGTTAACACCGATCAGAAGTATACTGCCAGGCCTTTCCCCCAAATCCCTTGTAGGTGAGTTTGAATCACTAACTCATCGGTTAGTAACTGACTGTTAAATCATGTACATGATCCAAGTATCTTCCTTAAGATTATTGACATTGGGGTGTAGTTCTTCTCCGACAGGTTCAGGTTTGTCTGGGATAGGAACCAATTCAGTGGGTCTGGCTTTCTCATCATCTCATCCCGTTGCTGTAGAGTGGGAAAAGACTGGAGCTTTCTGATTGAATGGGAGGTGATTGCCCTTCACTCTCTCACGGAACAGTTGATGGAGCCTCACTTCCAGAGGGAACCCTTTGGAATGCTTTTGAGTTAGCAGTGTAATTCTTAATTTATTAGTTCACCAGAGCTCCCTGGACTCTCTACAGCCAAGTTGACAAAGCACTCAGAGTGCCGTCCCCTGATTGGCCGGATGAACTTGATCCTGTCATTTTGCATTCCCGGTCCTTTTTCTTGGCATGACTTCCCTGCTGTGGCTTTTCATCCTCAATCTTTTTGATTCCTACTTATTCTTTAGGATTCTATCAGGAACAAGACTGATAGGTTTCCTGTCCTCTTAGAACTTTTTGATGGGATATTTGTAATAAACAAGTAAGTGCTTAATACTGTAGACCATTTCAGATAAGTACATGTTATGAAAAAGTAACATAAGCCAGTAAGAATATAGGATGCTATTTCAACTAATTTTGGCCTTACAAGGACCGTGTGGTATAGAAGACATTTGACCTCAGCTCCGAGGAATGGAGAGGAATAACTTCCAGAGAGAGAATTTGCAAAGATCCTGTGGCAGAAAAAGAGCTTGGAGTCCTAAAGAAACCTCAAGACCAATGGGGATGGGTAGAAACAGCCAACAGAAGGTGGTGCTAGCTGAAAATCAAGGAGGCGGTCCTAGATTCAATCTTTCTTGGGAGTTCAGATTTCATTCCCAAAGCGAAGGGAAGCTATTTGGATTTTAAAGCCCACTTTCTGTGTGCATGTGTACTCTGGCAGCTCGTGGGAAAAGGTCCTGTCCCAAACGTCCAGGCATAAGTGCCCCATCCCCCGTCGTGTTAAGTCATAGGGCCAATTTTTGCCACTGTACTGTGACTGCAAGTTTACGTGGCTGCCTTCTCTCCAGACCTTTCTGCAGAGGAAGCGGCGACCAGGGGAACCTTGCACGGAGCCCTGCTCCCGGGCCCCTGGGCACACGGCCAGCGTCGGTCGCCCGGCACACAGTGTCGCACAGGACTTTTTCCTCTGAAAGCCGGGCCTCCCACTCGGCGGAGGCCGGCGCAGGACGCACGCGCTCTCGTGGCCTCTGAGTGTGCTTTTCAGGACAGGTGCGGAGGTCGCGCTGTTCTCACCCAGGCATCTGATAATGTTGCTCCCGTTTGGGATGAGCCTGGATGTCCTGGGCAGGCCAGCTGGCTTGGGCTCTCGGCCAGTGGGTTGAGACAGCGCACACCAGAGTGGTCCGATTCCCGGGGACCCCCCCGTACCCCTCAAGCGTGGACGCACATCGGCGCTCCCCAGCGGCGAATCTGGGAGTGCATCGCCTCCAGGAAAAAGGACTCGCTCAGCGCGATCCACGTTGATACGTTTTAAAGCTCCGAGGCTCCATTTGCACTCATCAAAAAAGGAATTGAAATAAACAAGGAGAAGCGCTTTGCAAACTTGGGCACAAGTTAGGCGATTCTTTTCTCCCTGTAAAAGCTTAGAGGGTTGGAGCCAGGCGGCCGCCACTTTTCTCCCAGTCTCTCGTCGTGCAGTCATCACACATGATTTTGCGTCCCCTGGGGCCTAGAAGCACCGGAAAAGCCCCAGCGGGTGCGGTCGCTGGTCGTGTCACGTGACGCCCGCAGGGCGGGCCCCTGTTAGGGCGCTGGGGACGAAGCGCGCTTGCGCACTTTTTATATGTATGTATGTATGTATGTATGTATGTATGTATGTATGTATGTGTGTGTGTATATATTTTTTTTGTAGCTTGGCTCTAACGCAAGCACAGCTTGCTTCTCCCCCTCCTTCCCTTTCACGCCTTCGGACGCTTCCTCCCTTCCCCCCCAATGATTACGTGAAGGCCGACAGTCCCATCAGCCAATCACCGTGCTGTGTTCGGAGGCCGGCACGCGGAACCGGCCCGACCGGACCAATGGGAGCCCGTAGAGCTGACGCGCCCCGAGGGGGGCGGTGCTTATCCAGCCAGCACGTAGGCGGGGAGGGCGGGGACTAGCCGCCGCAAAGGCGTCTACGGCGGCGTGGAAGACGACGTTCATCAGTCTTGGAGGTGGCATCGGCCGCACCAGTCCAGCTTTGCGGGAGGTTCGGCAGTCTGTGGCGGCCCTCGGGAGGCCGCGGCGCCATGGGGGCGCAGTAGAAGGGCTCCGGGCGGCGAGGCGAGGGGCAGCCGTCACCCGGCCCGCGGCGACCTTCGGCGGGTCCCGGACGTGGGCAAGCTCCGGGGCGGGGGTCGTCCCTGGCTGCGCGGGGCCGCGGGGCGGGAGCCAGCAGGTTTTTTACGGGGTTGCCGCAGGCCCGGGCCCGTCGCGAGGAGACACCGCCGGCTGCCGGCCCCCGCTGCCGGGCCGCTTGACGACGACGCTCTCGAGGGGTCCCAGCCCGAGGAGGACGCGGCGGCGGCGGCGAGGCCGCGGGAGGCCTCGGGCGATGGAGGAGCGGAAGGAGGAGGGCGAGGCCGAGATCCAGGAGCACGGGCCCGAGCACTGGTTCTCCAAGTGGGAGCGACAGTGCCTGGCCGAGGCCGAGCAGGACGATCCCCCCGAGCTGCAGGAGGAGGCGGCGGCCGCCGCGCAGCCCGAGCACAAGCAGCAGAAGCTGTGGCACCTCTTCCAGAACTCGGCCACCGCCGTGGCCCAGCTCTACAAAGGTGAGGCCGCGCCGCCATCTTGGCGCCGCCCGGGGCCCCGCACCCTGCGCGGACCGACGGGGGTGGGGTGGGGGGGCCGTGCTGGCCGCGCCCCGGCGGCCCCAATGCCCCCCAAGATGGCGAATGGCGATCGGGAGCCCCCCGCGGGGCGGGGCTGGGGGGGCGGGCGACGGGGGCGCCTCGAAGAAGGGAGGCGGCCCGGGGAGGGGCTGGGGGAGCGGAGGGAGCCCCGTTGTCGCTGCGGGGCGCCCCCCGGCCTGGAGGGGAGGAGCCCCCAGTTACAAAATGGCGAAGGGGAGGCGGCGGGGCCGGCCCTATTGTGCCCCGGGCTCGGGGCGGGGGGCGCCGGCCGGCAGCCCGGGACTCGGCCCAGGGCGACGTCTCGGGGTGTCCGCAGCCCCCCGCGGATCACGCCCCGCCGCGACCCCCTCCCCGGGTCCCCGGCGGCACTGGGGCGCGGGGGGGGGGACCCGAAACCCTGGAACAAAATGGCGAAACCCAATATGGCCGTTCGGGAGTGATTGACGCCCGAATAACATTTCTTCTTTCTTGTCTGCCTCCCCTCTCTCTGTGTCTTGTCTTCTTCCCTCTTTCCGTTCTTCTGCATTTCTTTTTAGACCGAGTGTGTCAGCAGCCAGGACTTTCCCTCTGGGTCCCCTTCCAAAACGCAGCCACCGCGGTCACCAACCTCTACAAAGGTAAGAAGGTTAATCTTGGTGCAGTTGCCGGGGTGATGGCGCCCCGCGATGTCGGCGTGGGGACTGGGGTCGCAGCCCCTTTCCCCCCCTCTTGGTGCTAAGCTTAAGTGTTTTCAGCCCAGAAATCTTAACCCCGACTGCTGGATCACTTCCCCACTGGGGGCTGAGGGTCGTTTCATGGGGTTCTCTCTAGATCAGGGGGCATTCTCAGCATTTCCCTACGTGGGGGGCAGTGGGCGAGTCTGTATTGTATCTTGCTCTCTCTCCTTCGTGTGTTGGGCATTGTCTGGGGACACACGTCTGACTGTCACAACGGACAGGGAGCTGCTGCTGTTGGCCTCCAGTGGAGGCCGGCGATGCTGCACACTGACCTGCAGTACACAGGACAGTACCCCTCCCCCAGGCAAAGAATGCTCCGGCCCTAAATGTCAGGAGTGCCAGCGCTGGAAGGCCCAAGCGGGATGTTTTGCTTCAAGTTGAAGGGCATCAAGGAAAGGGCAGGGTTGAAGGTGTCCAGAGAGAGGGATATTTGTGGGAAGTGCCTCCTCCGCAGTTCTCTTTATTAGGCAGATTATAATTCACAAGGATCTGTTTGATAATGTGTAGTCCTGCAGGAGCCCCCTTGTTGGAATATAGATAGTCTGAGAGCATGTTAACTTGCCACTCTTTGCTGGCACATTTCCTTGACTGTGACCCTGCAGAGCGACTGTGACCCTGCAGAGCGGCATTGTATCTGATTGTAAACACTGTTGGCAGGAAATCCGGCATCAGCGTTTGAGATCATAGGTTGGTGCTTGATGGTTGGAACTTTCTGATTTTTCTCTCTAGCTGTGTGTGTTTCCCCCCTCCCATTACCTCCCAGGTATAAGCCAGCATAACGTCTTTTAGTAACAAGGGGCCTATATTTTAATACCTGGGAAATGGGGGCCCTGTGGCACAAGGTCTAAAAGCACTGGAATGCTAGCCTAAAAGTCAACACTTAGGATCCACTGGTAACAGCTCTGCTGGAGGGTGACCCTGAGTCAGAACCAACACAATGGCATTAGAAAGTTCATGAAGTAGAATTTTATTCTCCTTTCCCTCCCCCAGCCTTGGCAAGGTTTCTATGGAAAAAGGATTGGATTTTTCAATTTTAATCTTAATAAAAATGTAGTTGGAGGATTTCAAACTTGGAAGTTGCTGACAATGATGAAATTGTGCACTTCAGTAGGGAAAAACAGGCAATGGAGAGAGTGCTTAGTCTTCACGTTCCTGTCTTTTGTATAGGAACATACAGATGTTAACCGGCTTCTCCAGGAAGTAAGTGTTCCTTTTCTAGGGGTTTCTTGAGAGGACCTCATGATAATTTGAGAACCTAGACGGAAACTGGTGAGAGAAAGAGGAACGAATAGTCCATGTCTTAATGAGAATAGGGAAACAATTAAATGGTACCCTAGTGGTCAACTTTGATTTTAGGTAGCTACATTTCTGAATTTTAGTAGCGGAGTAAATTTAACATTGATCAGTGCTTGAGAGTCTTGAACTTTCATTTTGGAATTGCCCTTGGTTTCATCCAAAGAGAGAGTATTGAAAATGATACTCAGAAAAATGGAGTAGGGTGGTTTTTGTTTTTTTAGAAAAAACCCTTACAGTTTTGGCATACAGTGAAGCTCATTCTTAGATGTGTAGTTAGGTTTTGATAAATAGATAACACTATTTAAGGTAAAAGATTATAAGGATTTTCCTAACATTTTTCCTCCTGTATTCTTCCACTTAAATTTTTTTAAAGAGATTGGTCTTGAGGGAATTAGTAGGATTTTTGTTGAGTAGGATTCCACATGGTATTTTGTTGTTTTGTGTGTGTTTTCCATTTGCCTACTATGCTGTTGCTCACATGTTGTGCTGGCCATACATGTGGAGGACTTGTTACTGAAAAGTCAAAACAGAACTCAGGCTGCTATGTTTATCTTTTGAAAGAAAGCTGGCACTGTCCTTTAATGCTCACTATTCTTTATAAGAATATGGGGTCAAAAGTTGAATGCAGAAATAAGGCTTAATTTGTAAGTGCTTCTAAAGTCTTGGCAATTTTTAACTTTGCAATTCAGAAAGCTTACGGGACAAGTATTTAAATAGAGTTTTTTCCTTTTATTATTGCAAATGCTAAATTTTTAGTATAAGCTGATTTTATTTTGTGTTCCTGTGAAATAGATAGGTTTTACCCATGGTAGATTGTTTTCTGAAATTTAGTTGTATTGCAACATTTATTATCTGATTCAAGAGTGGATCATGCTCTGTGAATCCTTGTTCTTCCTCCTTTTTAGGGTGTGGTACTACAGCTGTAGAATAATTGGTTACCTTAAATAGAAATGATAAATCCAAGTCACAAGTGCATGTAGCATTAAACAGAGGTTACTTACAAATTTAAGCCATTGATCACCTAAAGCTAAAAATCTATTGCCATCTTTTCAATTCTGATTCATCTACTCAACTCTGTAGGACAGAAAACACAAAATTTCCAAGGTTGAAAAGGCTGAACTCCTTAGAAAGGTTTTGGATGCATAGTGAGTTGCACTGCTAACTTAAAAACTGAAGACCGATGACTTGTGGTTCGAATCCACACACAAGTGGCTTCAGAAGAGAAAAAAAAAGACGGTCTCCTTCAGGCTTAGGAACCCAAGGAAAGTTGCCAGGGGTCAGAACTGACTGCTAGTGAGTGAATTGTTAAGGGAGCAGATTGCCATATCTTTGTCCCACACGGCAGCCTATTAGTTAAAGCCACTGACTTTTTGGTAAGGAGCCTAACGTTTAATACTGTGCCACCAGTGCAACCTTACATTGATTTCCTGTTTTAAAATTGTTATGTTGATAATATACCATCAGTTGGAGCTGACTCTCCAGGAAGTTTTCAGAGGCAGTAAATTTCACAAAAGGAGATTGATCATCTTTCTTCTGTGGAGCAGCTGGTAGATTATAACAAAATGGCTTTGGGTTGGTAGTTACCAACCAGATTTGACCACCAGAAAAAGAGTTGACTATAACCTAGCATTTACTGATATTTGGGAGATTCCCTTAAGTGGGATGATATTCCTCTGCTTTGTATTAAGCACTACCTGGAAGCTGAGTGTAGAATGTTGAGGCTTTTTTACTAGCTTCCTAAAATGTAAAAAGCTAGCAGAAGCCATTTTGCTTGATGGCCTTAGCTTTTTGGTTGGACCTTCATTTGAGTTGGTTTGATTGGAGTATGGCTGGAATGATGTTGGTTTTTTCCCCTCCCCCTCAGTGCTGCTTTGGGGACAGAGTGGATTGTGTTCCTTCTCCATATAGTAGGGTTGGGATTTGTCATTCTTTGATGAGACAGGAGGAAAATCTTGATTCCTCCTTGTTTCTTGAAGTTGATGGTATTGTTTACTATTTGATAGTGTGAAGTGCCTTTGGCATAGTATCTTTTGTGTATTGAAATTAGGTATAATCTAGCAGGAGTTGTTTATCTGGGAAATACTTGACCATGCCTATTTGAACTTTAACAACCCCTGATTTTCATGAGTGTCTGTTTTGAATCTTTTTATTTTTAATTTGAAAAGAAGCTTAGTTTAGATTGCTTTATTCCCTCAGAGAGGTTGAATGGCTGTTGCACCTTTCTGGGGAGCCCTCACTTGTTCGCTTCTTGGCCCTTCAGCTTGGTATTCACTTACTATTCTGTTTTTCCTTAACATGAATGCTTCTTTTCATCTGGGATTCTTTTATTTTTCTTTAACCTTCACATTTTAAAATGACATTTGAGGCTTTAGTTTCAGATCAAGTTTTGCTTCTTAGCTGAAGTTGATGTGCTGGTATCTTGATAGTTGATATAAGTATTTTTTGTTGGACTGCATTTGTTAGAAGGCGAGTGTTCGCTATAGTGATGGACCCACGGTTAGGGAGTCTGCTACCACATGGTGAATAAAAGATTTAACGTTAGTACTTCTTGGCTTTCTCAGATGTGAATGCGGATCTAAACCTACTGTTATCCAGTCCATTCTAACAGTGATCCTATGAAAAAAATAGAAGTCTTCTGCATAAAGTATTCTGAGGCTGTAAATCTTAAATGAGAGTAGATAGTGTCATCATTCTCTCCAGAGCATGTCTTGCCTTCAAACCACTGACTTTGAGGTTAGCAGCCAAGCATTTTAACCATTAGCTTACCAGGACTCCCTTTGAATACTTTATAAGCGTTTAGCTACCCTGGCTTAAGTGAGTGCTTAAGTATTGATTGTGTTCGTGCTCAAGTTCAAACATTGAGAAGATTCTGATTATGAAGTAGAAGGGTGGGGGGCTAAGATTTTTTTAATTTTTTTTGGGGGGTGTGTGTGTATTGTGATAAGTCTTTTGTTGTGTACTTCTTTCTCATCCCCTTGAGAGTTTGAAAAAGTGGTATGGTGCTTTTTAAGTGTGTGTGTGTGTGTGTATATATATATATATATATATATATATAAATATATATAATATATACACATACATACACACTTTTTTTAAAAAAGTATATTTTTTCGAGATCCTTTGATACTATTTCCTTTTCTAGAATACATTATAATGTGGGCAGGATCTGTATGTAGACTGAAAGTCATAGGGATGTACAGAATATTTGTGAGTCCATGTAGCAGGTGACTGGTTTATAAAGGAATTGATCAGAGAAAGTGTATTCGACCAGGGAACTTAAGTGGACACTATTAGCATCTCAACTCCTTACAGTTTGACTTTTCAGAGCTGTCCTGTGACTCTCATAGTCACAAACTATTGGAGAATTAATGTTAGAAACTATATGCTTTGAGTTGTAATCTTTATTTTTTTGCATTGTGAGGGCTGGTGGTGGTTGTTAGGTGCCATCAAGTAGACCTTAATTCGGTGACCCTGTGAAGAACAAGATCTGAACCTTACCTATTCTGTGCCATCCTTACCACCTCTGTCGTGCTCTAGCCCATTGGGGTAGTCATTGTGTCAATCTGTCTTGTTGAGGATCTTCTCTTTTGGTGACCCTATATACC